CTGCCTCTTGGGATTTTTGCAGGAGATAATGAGGGTAAGTAGGCAGTAGGAGACGCAACTGCTCACTTCTCCAGGTCCACTTATCACTTGTGGGGGTGATCTATGGTCCGGTCTAGTATGCTGGTGAGGTGATCAGCCTGTTAATAGTGGTCAAAATCAGGTAAAGCAAGGCCACCAACAGCCTTCAAATGAATTTGAGTGTCAAACTTTATTATCACGTTTTTTTCATACAAACCGAACAATTGCAGAGCAAACAGAAGGAGGAGGTTCATCTTAAAATAAAAATACATTTAAAAGAAAGAAATTCTACCCTTTTGGGTGATATGATGGTTATCACTTAATGAACAATGATAACAATGACCACTCAGTGTCTCTGTTTCTCTGTGATACGTACCATAGCTAGTTCTGGCTAATCTGTAATGAATGTTTCTCTCTCCATCTGTTTATTATAGCTCTTTAACTAAAGTATTGTGCCCTTTATAATAGATTGGAAACAAATAAAGTAAAATTGGCTGACTATGTAGGTATATTATTTTCGGCAGGAAATTTCATTTTATTCTTTCACAATGTAGCACTTCACATCACACATTCTTTCATGGCACATAGCTTTTCCTGGGTTGTCAAATGATGGAAGCCAGGCCTTCTAAACATATCTCTACAGTAAAACAATAAATCCAGAAGAACAGATTGATGGACATGTGAACAATTCATTACTTAACCCATCTACTACCATCACACAACATACACATTGTTGAATTCATTTTGCACTGGATTACATAGCAATTCAAACAAAGTTATAATACAATAAATCCCACACACTCTGACCTCCACTCCAACTCTGGTCTTCCCCTGGCTGAAAAACAAATATCTCAGAATGGGCTCTTGTTCGTACCTCTGTGCTGTAGAGCTGTATTTCCAAAGCTACACAAAACGTTCTCTATTTGGGTGAGCTTTTCTCAGTTGATTGCTAACATCTACAATTGCAAACATGTCCAACCAGATGAAGGTATTATTGAGGTTACTAAGTTTTAATGGTAATGTTTCAGATGTAATCACTTTTTCTGATTTCTGGGTTGTCATAGTCTAAATGTTTACATACGTTATTTTCGGTACTCTTTTCTCTGACGGGATGTTAAGATTTAATGCGGTTATTGGTTCACGCCCCTATGAATGATATTGCCAGATGTTGTTACCATTTGCTACTGGCCTTATTATATATTGTAACTCATAATTCTTTGATTTTAACCACTCGGGACCTGTGTGTCCCATTCTTTTTACTATATTTTTTATCTCAAAACCTTAATAAAAACCGTGAATTACAAAAAAAATTTAAAATAAGTTCTCTACTTAGGACTTTGTTAATTCTGTTTCAATGGGGATACTGATAAAACATACAGTCTAGTGAAAGAGTGGGGGGGAAGATTTATCAAATTGTCCTGTTCTAAAAAGTGACCTAAAATACAGAAAGTGGGGTTATTACCATGGAAACTAGGTAAGGCATTCTATTGGTGTCTCCTTCCCTTTTACATGTTTGCATGACTTTTTAGAAGAGAACATGTTGAAAAATCTCCCCCAGCGTTTCAAAGAATATAAAACCATTGTATTTTATATATTTAAATATAACAATGTATGTTGTTTAAAGCGGAAGCGTCACTTACATATCCCCATATTTAACAAATATGTATGTGTAAAGGTGAGAAAGATAAAATAAAATGCCGAAATCCTCTCCTCTTTATCTTGTGAGCGGGTGCTCCCATCTTCTTTCCCTGTCAATCATTGTTATAAACTCTGTCCATTGTACCTGACACTCAGCATAGAGAAAGCAGAGAAGGGAAATTAAACAAACACACCATACTAAGGAGAATTGCTGTGAATGCAATGTGAATTTCAGAATTCTGCCAAAACAGCTGAATTAAAAAGATTCTTCAAGTCACTTCTTTCTCAGTTTGAAAATTGAAATTGACTTTGAATTACAGGCAATTCTCATTTTAGTAAATAACCCTGAATGTTGCAATTTCTCCTCTAAATTTGCACATTGTAAATGATTATCAATGTTTTATTTAATAGGGTAGATTCCAGAAAAGTAGCAGTTACCCTTTAAGAATCTTAAAAAAATTGATATTTGCAAATTACTTTTTTTTCCTAACAAAATTTAAATATTTATTATATGTATGCAATCTAAATAATTATAGATATACATAATTAATCACTACAGGAAGATAAGTAAATGTTTTTTCTTTAATTTCAAAACAGATACACTAATTCTGAGACATATTTTTGCACAGCAGGGACATTAGAGAACAACAAAGCATGAATTGTTACTGGCAATTTATCAGCTTTTGTCATCTATTTCAAACAAAGAAAGTCATTTCAGTAAGCAGACAACACAATATTATTGGTAATTCCTCAGATTAGATGTTTGCACAATTAAAATGATTAAATATTGTGAAATGCTGACTTTTCATATGAAACAGAATGTGCTCTAATACTTTGAATC